TGCAGACGAGACCTGTTACCCCAATTCACTGTACAACGTGAAACTCGAACAGAGGATTGCGGAGGCGGAATGCACCGAATGCGATGGTTTTACAGACTGCTTTGGGATGGTGGAAACGTCGCTTATCATGACTACATGAAGACCGTGCTGACCAAGGAGGAGATCGCATCAATGCTCAATCCAACCGCAACAGCTGAGTATGTCGGCGACATTTTCGAATTCTGGCTTGGAATGCTTGACCTGGGTATTCAATTCCCTACTATGTTCGCTGGATGGGGGGCAAACCTTGACAGTTGCCTCGCAGGACTGGAAGAGTCGTTTTGGCTATTCAGCAGTTCATGTCGACCTACCGACACCATCAACACAAAGCGAAACAGATCCAGGAAAGCATACATCCCGCCGGTCGAGAACAACATGGTGATTACAATCTTGAAAGAAGCGGGAATCTTTGACCTACTCATGCAGAAGAAGATCACCAGAATGCCGGTGCTCCCAGAAGCCAACTACGATGACCACCCTGAAATGATTGAGGTCTCATCAAGCGATGAAGAGGTGGATGAAGTTGATGAACCTGATGAGGAGACCACGACGCCTACGGCGCGGGGCCCTCGAGCAGAACAAACTTCAGGAGAAACCGATGCCGGAGCTGGTGACATCGAGATTGAGGAGGAGGAAGATGACATGGGGGGCCAACCTTCAGAAGCGAAGAAGCGCCGAACTGAGGTGCGGGACATCCGTGATCGATTTGAGAAGCTGATTTCAGACGCATCAGATGTTCAATATTGTTTCATTTGTGGTGGAAGGCATGACATTGATGAATGTACCACACCAGATGATGAGAACATGAAGGACACCCTATGGCGCATGAGATTGATCATGGATCAGAAGTCCAAATCCCCATCATCATCCGAAAGATCCAAAGCTGCAACCAGAGGCAGAAAAGACAAGCTCCCAAAGAACGTCATGCCGCGAGGAAAGCGTTGGGGAAGAACCAGATTCACTGAGAAAGAGGAAGTGACCAAGTGCTTCTATAGTCAGTCAGCCTTTATGTACGACATTGGTGATCGTGAAGAAGGAGGACAATACTTAGTGAATGGTGTCGAAGTCAACCCAATTAGCCGAGGTGTGAAGAATCGTCATGAGCTTGATATGCTGATTGAGCGTGCGGCTGAGGAATCCCCGCCTGTTTTGCCGACCATTGAGGAGCTGAACGCTTGGAACCACATTGACCATGATGAATACATGAAATGGCTTACAGAGGAAAGAAAACAACATGGAAACAACTGGAACTTTAAGTACATCCAACCATTCACACATGGCCACAACATTGGTACACTTCAACTTGCTCGCATCAATGGAGAAGAATATCTTGGGATGGGCTGGTGTAAGGTACATCGATATGGCGAGAATGAGTGGATGGGCAACAAGTGGGAAAATCCGCAATGGATAGTCGAATTGTCGAAAAGATTCAATGCAGCGCTACGCCACTCCGTGGGTTGCGTCAAAGACAATCGAAATCACCGTGGACTACCATGCGATGAGGCAGGTTGGGTCAATGTTGAGTCGATCTTGAAGTATGATGCCATTTGGAGAGACCAACATACATTGGCCGGAACGACCCATGTCAACTACCCGATACTTGTTGAGAGGTGGAACAATTTCCAGAGAGTGATCTTCACTGAGTACAAGCAAACGAAAAGAATCCGAGCTCAAGTGCTAGGACTCAAGGTCACAAAAGGTGAATTGGAACACATCATGAACAACTTCAATGATGGATTGACCTCTAGACTTGATCGACAAACACTGAGGTTGGAGATCGGCACAGCAGATCGAGAGATTTGGCTTTGGCCGGTGGCAATCCGTGCCCCTATGGCACATTCAAGAGTTCAAGGCGGTGTGCACATCGAAGACAAGAAGACTTCCTATCAGATGAACCCTGGAGTAGGATACACTCTTGGAGGAGGATTTCACTGCACCACATTTGACAACATCGCTCAAATCTTCAGAGAAGGACTACGTCCCGGAGGAGGAGGCGACCGCATCAATACGTTCTTCGTGCCATTCGCACCGTGGGACGTGCGAAGTCAGATGGTGCTGAGATTCAGGAAGATTGAACAAACTGATCTTGTCTACATCTACATCACGTACGATTCCATCGCCAAGTTCTCCCCTAGATTGTCAGCAGACGGACACATTTTGGTCCAAGAAACAATTCCATTCGAATCATTCGATGCAGTTTGGTATTACGACTGGAGGGAAAAGGACTACTACCGTCTCATGATCACAAAGGGAAGAGATCAACTTGTCCTTTCTGTGCAAGGAGCAAAGAGGGTGGCCACCATTGAACGATTTGACAAGCTCATTGGGAACATTGTGCCTGATGAATCATCACCCGATCTGGACGAACTTCGAAAACTTGTCGATATCAGGACCGGTCACTTCAGTCATACTCACAGATTGTTCCCTGGACATCCGGATTGGAATGATGCAATATCATTGTTGGCAGTCACTCATCATCCCAGCAAGGAGGACCATCGACTATGCCCCGCATGTCTGATGGAGACCCCTTCACCATTATCGATTTGTGTGATGTGCAAAGGATTTTTGGTGAGTCATGGATGGAGGAAACGAATCAAGATCACCGTGGCTACAGTACCAAGTGCCGAATCACATCATCGAGAAGAAGATCTCAAAGACCATGTCAAGAAAGCATGGGAGGAGGTGAAGATCGATTTGACAGGTGATGGTGATGACGACGAAGCGATGCCAGATGATGATGACGTCACCATGAAAAGTCCAGAACAAGAAACTCAACCAGAAGAAGGAGATGATGATCAAGCCTCGAAGAAGGGCGACATCAATGATGAGAAAAGAGACTTCAGAGAACAAGATGAGGTCGACAAATTTCTCAACCAGGAAGGAAAACCGACCGACGATGAAGAGATAGCGGTCGATGAAATCAACATTGAAGAGTATGAGGCTGGAGAAGCTCGTGATGCAGTGATTGAGTTTCCCAAGTGGATGAAGCGGATTGAGTTTGGATCAAAGGTCCTACCAATCGAGCCTTGCACAATTGGAGATGCTCAGCCAGAGCTCATCAAGATCCTCCTGTTGCAGATTGGACTACATATCGTCAGGATCTACAGACTATTCCAACGGAACTTCTGTGGAGACATCGAGACGGCATGGAAACATTTTCAACAGAACCAGAAATTCAGGATGGACCTGGACTCTAGAACACCTTACCTGGGCGAGGATGAAAATGGTGAACTCATTGAACCAACTGCACAACAGATGAAAGAGCTCTACAAAGAGATCGGCCGACCAAATCAAAAGGACGACATCGGAGAAGAGGGATTCGTCAATGCATACTATGGGGCAGTGGTACTCAAAAGACTTCTCGTATATACCCTTGAATGTGGCTACACGTATGATGACTTGCAGAATATCTTCTTTGATGAAGAGATGGAGAAGCTGTCGAAACGTGACACAACAATGGATGAGATGAGAAAGACCACAGCTGCCCGCGAAGCCCTCGACCGACAAGACGTCATGGTCAGAAGAATCATTGCAGGTGCATATAGGGTGAATGCTGTTTATTTCTTCAGGAACGTCGACTTTCAAGACACAATCACACTGAACCCAGTTGACATTGTGTGTGCTCTTCGTCCACCACTTCGAAGAATATCACTTTTACACCTGATCCTTCAAAATGGCCGACAATTGCCACGACCTCTACTCCAGAAGCTATATGATGCAATCGATGACTACAATCACATCAAGCAACGGGAAGATCAACGACCAAGATGGGGCATACACATGACTGACGCCCATATACTTGCGATTGCTGATACCCCAACTCCTGCTGATCGTGAACGTACTAACCCAGCCGCTGGCAAGTCGAAAGCAGCTCCAAAAGCAGCACCAGCATTGGGAAGAATGTCAAAAGCGAAAGCATCATCGTCAGCAACATGGAGAACAGTTGAAACTGCACCTCCGCCAAAACAAGCTCCAGTGACCCCGCCAAAGAAGGGTGGAAAAGACCAAGGAAAAGGTGGAAAATCTTATTCACACCGTGGCGGAGACTGGAACCAACAGGGATACTATGGATGGGGATATAGATGATGAATCGATATGACCTCTGCATAGGTCCTGATTGAACCTGGCGATGCGAGGATGCAATCATTGCTCGAGATTTACCTCTACTTCATTCCGAATGATTTCTGAGAGGACTCTGAGCCGGCTAATTTAGAACCACACATTTTTTTTTGAACATCATTGCACGAGACGCTGAGTTTCTACAGCGGTCTACATCTCAACCGACGAAGGAACGGGAAGGTAAACTTCTAGTTCCATAGTCAACTTTGTGTTTTGATTTCTTTAATTCACATGCTTGAGTGAGATTCCATGCTGGCTACGCCACATCGGATGAACCTCAATGCTAGACACCGACTACGTCGTGTCTACATGCACGTGAACAGAACCTTTATCTTTTGGTAGAGATCGTAGCAAGCCGCCTTGTAGATTAGAAGTTCTGAACGGACTTTAGCTCTCCATAATTCAATAAATGAACAGCTGCGAGTGTAGTGGATCAATTTAAGGGACACTCCTTTGCGCGCAGCCAACAAAGTTGGCTGTGCGTGGGGGGTGCGAATAGAGTGTGGGCTACGGACCATTGTATATTATCACAATTAGACACTCTAGGATCCAGTACCAAAGGGGCACTTCAAACTGGCCTCTTTGGCTCAAGACCCACTGCAGCAACGGAGTAAAGAACAGCAATGCGGAAGCTGATGCCCGTGTAACGTCATCACTGGAGCAATCACTTCAACACTCACTACCAGGACATAATCGGACAGGCAATCCCCGATTCGCATACATACATACATACATACATACATACATACATACATACATACATACATACACATATACTTAATGTAATTTAATCACACATTATGGGACTTGAGCCCAGCTGGCACCAAATGCCGTGTGCGAAGGTATGCGTGATCTTCGAGTTCTCGCGGCAAGAAAGCCTGGAAGAAATGGGTGCTCTTCATACCAGCAAGTACATTGACCAGGAGCTGGGTTGACCAAAAATCCCTGGCCACGGCGTGAGGGCCAGTCAGGAAGTTGAAACATGTTGAATCCAAACTTGCTGTTCACACCCTGCTAAATAATAATAGGCTGAGAAAATCTGTAACTTTCATAGCAGTGCGTGGCAGTGCCATTGCATCAGCTGCGGTCCCCTTATGTAAGTTCTTGCTGGGCATCAATTTTCTGTGGCTGGAGCAATAGATCAATTAAAAAAAAACACCGTCAAAAACCACATTGCCCCAGAAAGATGACAGCAGCCAAAGCCCCATTGCCCCTTGGGCCCCATTGGCTTGACGCGTGGCAGGCGGTTTTTGGCATTCTTCTATATTTCTTCCAAATCTCTTGCTGTTGTTTGGCACCGATGGCTGATGACCCTCGGCTCACCCGATGGGCACCTTGGCCATCAGTTTTGCGCGCGGTCGCTGCATAGCATTGTATAGTATATATGCCCAGCTATAGTATAGCTGGGCATATATATATACACATGTCCACATCATATATATATAATTATATATAATTGTATATAAGTATATATATATATATATATAAATGTATGAGCCACCAACAAAAATCGGCAGTGCTAAACATGTCAGGAGCGAACATAGGTTTCTGGAAATTGTAAGAACACCATGTAAGCGATGGGACCTTTCCAAATAGCGATGACCCCTTGGAAGGTTGTGTCATAACGTACGCAATTTTCTTTTAAGCGATGCCCCCCAAGTTTCCCACATTAGTTTTTCCAAACATGTGGTAAGTGGTGGGACCTTTATGAATTTGTGGATGTCCTTTCCGTGAACCAGGAGTTTCCGAGATTGCTCATATCAGCTATCTATCTATCTATCTATCTACCTATCTATCTATCTATCTATCTATCTATCTATCTATCCTATCTATCCTATCTATCTTATCTATCTTATCTATCTTATCTATCTTATCTATCTAATCTATCTAATCTATCTTATCTATCTAATCTATCTAATCTATCTTATCTATCTAATCTATCTAATCTATCTATCTAATCTATCTATCTATCTATCTATCTATCTATCTATCTATCTATCTATCTATCTATCTATCTATCTATCTATCTATATATCTCTCTCTCTGTCAATCTATCAATCTATCTACAGTCAGTGCCAGAATTATAGAACGGAGCGAAGAGGACAAAAGTACGGTAAAATACCGTACCTTTGTCCTCTTCCGGGTTCGAACCTGGAGCGGAGTCGGAAAATTTAATTATAGAACGGGGAAGAGGACAAAGGTACGGTAAAATACCGTACCTTTGTCCTCCTGGCTCCGTTCTATAATTCCTGGCACTGACATAAAATGAGGATAAAATGAGGAAATGATGAGGAAATGATAATAAAACGCGGATAAAATGAGGATTTAATGGGGATTTGGTGAGGAAATGAGGATCAAATGCATATTTAATGAGGATTTAATGAGGATAGAACGACGAAAAAGGTTAGGAGTAAATTCAGATACATTTTTTTTCATACCTTCCGAGGAAAACAGAATTATAGAACAACAGGGTACGGTAAATAACCGTACCTTCGTACTCCTCAACTTCCGTTCTATAATTCTGTTTTCCCCCATTTTTCCCACATTTACCAAGTGATTTTCTCAGATTTCATGGTGATTTTATAGGAATTCATAGTGGTTTTATGGGATTTCATGGTGGTTTTATGGGATTTCACGGTGATTTTCTTAGATTTCATGGTGATTTTGTAGGATTTCTGGGACCCCGGAAGAGGTTCTATAATTCTATAATTAATTTTTCCGTTCGACGGAAAAATTAATTATAGAACGGGGCCCGGGAAACATTAATTATAGAACGAAAATGGGAAATGTGAGAAAAATGGGGGACAACAGAATTATAGAACAACAGCGCTCCGACAAGAATTATAGAACGACGAAAAAGGTTAGGAGTAAATTCAGATACATTTTTTCTCATACCTTCCGAGGAAAACAGAATTATAGAACAACAGGGTACGGTAAATAACCGTACCTTCGTACTCCTCAACTTCCGTTCTATAATTCTGTTTTCCCCCATTTTTCCCACATTTACCAGGTGATTTTCTCAGATTTCATGGTGATTTTATAGGAATTCATGGTGGTTTTATGGGATTTCATGGTGATTTTATGGGATTTCACGGTGATTTTCTTAGATTTCATGGTGATTTTGTAGGATTTCTGGGACCCCGGAAGAGGTTCTATAATTCTATAATTAATTTGTCCGTTCTATAATTAATTTTTCCGTTCGACGGAAAAATTAATTATAGAACGGGGCCCGGGAAACATTAATTATAGAACGAAAATGGGAAATGTGAGAAAAATGAGGGACAACAGAATTATAGAACAACAGCGCTCCGACAAGAATTATAGAACGACGAAAAAGGTTAGGAGTAAATTCAGATACATTTTTTCTCATACCTTCCGAGGAAAACAGAATTATAGAACAACAGGGTACGGTAAATAACCGTACCTTCGTACTCCTCAACTTCCGTTCTATAATTCTGTTTTCCCCCATTTTTCCCACATTTGCCAGGTGATTTTCTCAGATTTCATGGTGATTTTATAGGAATTCATAGTGGTTTTATGGGATTTCATGGTGATTTTATTGGATTTCACGGTGATTTTCTTAGATTTCATGGTGATTTTGTAGGATTTCTGGGACCCCGGAAGAGGTTCTATAATTCTATAATTAATTTTTCCGTTCTATAATTAATTTTTCCGTTCGACGGAAAAATTAATTATAGAACGGGGCCCAGGAAACATTAATTATAGAACGAAAATGGGAAATGTGAGAAAAATGGGGGAAAACAGAATTATAGAACAGCAGCGCTCCGACAAGAATTATAGAACGACGAAAAAAATTAAGAGGAAGATCAGATACATTTTTTTTCACACCTTCCGAGGAAAACAGAATTATGGAACAACAGGGTACGGTAAATAACCGTACCTTCGTCCTCTTCAACTTCCGTTCTATAATTCCGGCACTGACCATATCTATCTGTCTATCTTATCCTATCTAATCTAATCTAATCTAATCTAATCTATCTAATCTTAATCTTAATCTGAATCTTGATCTTAATCTAATCGAATCCAATCCAATCCAACCGAATCCAATCCAACCGAATCCAATCCAATCGAATCTTATCTAAATCCAATCTTTTCCTGAACTTATCTTATCTAATCTCTAATCTTCGAATCTTATCTAATCCAAGCTAATCTAATCTTATCTAATCTTATCTAA